AAGTAAGTAAGTAAGTAAGTAAGTAAGTAAGTAAGTAAGTAAGTAAGTACGTACGTACGTACGTAGGTAGGTAGGTAGGTAGGTAGGTAGGTAGTAGTCGTCGTCGTCGTGGTCGTGGTCGTGGTCGTGGTCGTGGTCGTGGTCGTGGTGGTGGTGGTGGTGGTGGTCGTAGTGGTCGTATAGTGGTCGTAGTGGTAGTAGTCGTAGTAGTGGTAGTAGTCGTAGTAGTCGTAGTAGTAGTAGTGGTAGTAGTGGTAGTGGTGGTAGTAGTAGTAGTAGTAGGGAGCAACAGCAGCAGTAGTAGTGGTAGTGGTAATCGCAGTAGCAGCAGCAGTAGTGGTAGTGGTAGTCGCAGTAGCAGCAGCAGTAGTGGCAATAGTAGTCACATTATGTTTAAACAAGCACAAGAAAAGGCCAGGGACACAGGATCAAATTAATAGGGGGTAGTAGTGCAGATTATTGATGGGGGACCGGCCCTTGTGAGGGGTACCCTTTGTGAGCTTGTCAAATGGTTGTTTTTTGGTAGGTAGGTAGGTAGGTAGGTAGGGTGGTGGTAGTAGTAGTAGGAGCAGCAGCAGCAGCAATAGTTAGTAGCAACAACCAATACTACTTTTAATTTGGGCAATTTCCGGCGGCTTTGTGGGCTCGGGTTAACTAGGGGTGATTTAATAATCCTGACTTTACATTATTTTAGATATAGTTATTACTGTAATTGTTTCCCGGTTCGAGAATTCAGCAAATCCAGTGACTCCACTCTGGCTGTATCAATCAATCCCAATCACGACTAGTCTTGGGACTGCCATATCGACAGACCAGTTGGGGTGTTTCAGAGGTCAATGTATATACGTTTCATTTTACAATACATTGAAGTTAATGTATAGGTCCAGTCTTCATGTTATTAATATAGGTTAATGATAATATGTATTCCCATCGGGATTTGGTTCCAACTCACCTTCGGACGACACTCTGGGCGTGGAAACGGGTGAGCTAGTCGTGACACTGTATACAACTGGGCATGAGTTGATCTAGTAAGACAGTGACAAGGAGCAAAAGGATCTTCAATTCGTGTGTTTGTTGCTTCCCAAAAATCCTGCAGAGCTTTCAGGTTTTACAAGAACATCGACTCACACCGTATCTTTTTGTAGTTGCCTGATCTTCACTTCTATATAGATCTACAAAATTCTAAAAACGTTGACTGGTCATTAAACCACCTCCTACCCTGGATGCTTCAACATTGTAACATGTCCAGTTTCTGTTCAATTGCAACATGTGCTGCCCCGTGCGGCGCCAGGCCTCACGGCCTTGGGATGCGCCGCGTTCGTGGGGGACGAGCAGCTGGCGCGGCTCTTCCTGGAGCACGGCGCGGAGGCGCGCCGCGATGCGAGTGGCGCGTGGCGCGTGGCGAATGGCGTGGTTTGTGCCATATGGTGCCCGGTTTGCATGGTCTACTACCAATAAGCTCCAGCTATGGATATCGTTGGGATTTGGCACTCCAAGCCAGTATTTAAAGGAATGTGTTCTACCAGATGTTGTCCGTTTGGTCCAAGCGAGGTGAAGTTGGGTTAGTATAGTTTCCATAATTTTCAATAGTTTTCCATGGCACCTTTTACACCTGACCACAGGTGTCATCAATACTTTCTCCATGTGGGTCGTGTTTATCTACTTTGGTCGCCCTTTCCGGTGCGCCGGAAAACACGCACGAGAACATGATGAACAACGACCAAGTCATAGAGGCCGCCGGGCTCCGTCTCCGTTGCTACACGAGGGCTGTGGCTCGGAACTCGGAGCCGAACCTGGAGGTGAAGCTTCACCTGTAGGTCGTCTATGCTGTTCATGTTGGCCTCCCCCGGTTGAAGGACCCGTTGCCAGATCTGCCCAGATCTTTGGAAAGGTGGTGCCTAGGAGAGAAACCGGGTCCCCCAGACATTGGGTTTCCCGGTTTGGCCCGGGTTTGGCCCGTCCAGCCCAGATCCGCGCCAACGACCGGGGCGATTTGCCCATCGATTCTGCCATGTTGAATGGGCACGTGGCCTGGAGTCGGTGGAGTGGACTTGGGCGGTTTACATGCGGTGTGTGAAGGGAAAAAGGTCCACACCGGTGGTGGGTTCCTGTTTTCTTGGTTGTGTGTGTTCTTCCCTCTTTCTCCAGGCCCCTAAGCGGCCCCTAGGCAAGAAACATGGAGATTGTTTTTGGTCCAAGTGTGGTATACAGTAGTGTAGACACAGCGTAATGTTTTAAATCATATGTTTAAATCCAACCACTGGGTTTTTGCCGGAAGCCTGTCGAAACTTTGCTGCGTATTGGCAGGATTTGCTGGCTGTCTCTCTCTCTCTATATTATTTATTATATATTACTTATTTATGCATATAGCTAGAGTTGGATGTTGAAACAATGAATTGAACATTAAATTCCATGTTGTTGGCTATCTATCTATCTATCTATCTATCCATCTATCTATCCATATATATATATATATGCGCAAATACAATATGTATACATATACATACAGACAGCTGGATCTTAAAATCATGAGTTCAATTTCATGTTGCAACGGACTCCACCAGCGGCAAATGTTGGTACTTGGCGCCTTTTCTGGCACACCAAGGAAAACATACTGCCGCTCTTCGACACCTTTGCTGTTTGAGGTGCCAGGTGCCAGATAGCCGGCAGAGTGAACCGAGGTGGGTCTGGCTTGATGGGCACCCGTATGCCAGGCACATGGAACCTTCGCGTTGATCCCCCGCGACTTTATAAGGCAGAGCAACCACAGACAGAGTGCAAAAGACAGCTAAGGATCCAGGTATCGGGTTTCATGAGAAAGGAGCAGAGTTCAGATATCTGCCTGGAATACGTGAGCAGGGGATGGCCATACTGGCGGATCCTGTCGTACCTTCTCAGGAGGTGCTTGGACCCTCAAAACCTACATAACAGTGCCTCCAATCACCTTCTGAGAAGGTGCGACTGGATCCCTGGATACTAGTAAAGCATGGTAGGCCCCCTAGTCTTGTGGCTGTTGGATTCGTCTCATCATCTCCATTACCTCTGGGATGGATTTAGGTCTTAAGTCGACTGAACCAACGAAGCCAACTCGAGATCCCGCCGGAGGACCCGACCCGACCGGACCGGACCGACCGCGACGCACCGAGCGATCTGCTGCTGAAGTCGAATTCGAAGTGAACGGGGGTCAAAGGGGTATGGATGGGATGGAGGGCACACCAGAAATTGTTCAGTCAATCTCCTTGTTTCACATCCACGCCATCCCAAAAAAACTCAAAAATCAACAACTCATGGTTCTGGGAGCGGATTAAAAGGGAGCCGATATTCCGCACCTTCACGTGTGCCAATTTTGCAGGTGGGAGTCTAGACCCCACCGCGTTTTTCGCGCAATGCGCTTGCTGCGCCATCAAGCTGCGCCTGTGCCTGCTCCTGAAGGGAGGTGAGGCACGGGAAGTGACTGCTGAAGGTGTAAGCCCCTGAAGTGTGGAATTGGGCACGGCAGCTGCATCCAGTCTAGTTTTGGGGGTCTTTCTACTGCGTGACTAGCATGGAAGTGGAACTCCACTTCTTCAAGGAAAAGGTCTTCCAAGATCCCATTGTCATAAATGGTCCACGTCCATGTCAGTGAGTCTGAGTGTAATTGCTTGGGTGGTGTCTAAAATCCTGCTGGGGTGTTCACCATCCCATGACTTCCGTCGATTCTGTCATTGAAAAAGACGTCGAAGGCCACTGGAAAAGACGTCGATTGATTTTTTCTCCGCGGGGCACGAGAGATCCGTTCATGCAGGGTGGCTGCTGCTCGATGAAACCGATGATGCTCGAACCATCAAGTGAAAAAGTGACGTGACGGATTCGAGGAAAGACGGATTGGAAGCTCACAGGGTGGCTTTCGAGAATGTCCTGTATTTGTCGTCAAATGCATGTGTTGTGCCATTTGAGCATCTCCATGCTCAACTTTCTTGAACTTTGCTGACTTGCTGATGCCTCCCATTCACCCCAAGTGCACCCAATTCACCCCAACTTCTGCAGAACATGGCCAAACATAGGGTTCTCCCGTTGGGTTCTCCCGTCGTGTGGGCGAAGGAGCGCGGACCTTCCCTTTCACGGGTCCCACCCCTTTCACGGGTCACCCAACTGATCGGCAGTCCGATGGCAGTCCCATGTCTCGCGTTTGGGGGTGAGTTTGGCTCAGTGGTCTCCGTTCAACGCTCCGTTTCAGCGGCTTTTCCACCATGGGCTTCGATCGCATCTGCGGAACATGCTGCGCTGCAGAGTCAACGGAGATGACTGGAACGTTCGGAGCAGCATCAACTGCCTTGGTCCATGAGATGTTCTTCCCCATGTATGTGGTGAAGGCGCTTGTTGGGGTAGCCCAAGATGAACAGGTGGGGAAAGAGAGGACCCTGGTCAACAACATTAGGAAACACGGGCTGATGCTATGCGTTGCATGCCAACAGAATACAGTCCTTGAAGTAGATGACCCGATGGGTTAGAAAGATAAAGATACCAAAAGAATTTGCTGATGTCGTTTGTTGTTGTTTTTTGCAGATTCACGATCTTCCCTTGGATCTGTTTCCTTGAACCCGAGGAACTGCAAAGCTGTGCTTTTCAACTTTTGAGGTTGGGACCATGCTTGGAGTCATGATTGGCTCACAGGCACTAGCCAAAAGGACCTATGGTCTTGATGAATGGAAGATTCTCATCTCAGGCATCGATTCGGTTGGTATCCGCCCTTTTTAGAGCCTCTTGTAGCTTTCTATTCACATTGTTTCCGGAAGAGCTGGGAAGATACATCAAGCTCCAAAGTGAACAAGCTATCGGTAGAACAAAACGAACCTCAGAAAAACAAAGCCTCCTCGACCAGGTATGTTTATGTCCTCATGTTCTCAGTTTGTTCGATGTCCTGGCCAGTTTGTATCCAAACAAGTGCAAAATCTGGCTGGGTCCGGAAGCTCTTCTGTTCAAGAGGGAAAACACATATTTGCTCTCACAAAGCATGCAGCCACCCCACCCCAACCCCGCGATTTTCACATGGAAAGTCGCCAGGGCCGATTCTACTTCTACTCGATATATATATATATATAGTATAGTCATGTATAGTCCACCTCTTTGCTCTGTACATCTCCAGGTCTCTGACTTCCTGGAGATGACTGGCCCGCCTGCGGCACATGCGGCCACCGGGACGTGCAAACCGGGTCGTCCGGACGGACGGCCGGTGAGCAGTTCGTCGTGCATGGCACAGGTCACAATCGTGGTCTGATGGAAGACCCAATGCAAAGCCCAGAGGTCCGGGAAACGACGATGTTTTGGTCATGTCCTGTGGTACCACCCTGGTAAAGGAAAATATCTGGACAGGGATCACGTAGCCGGACCGTGCTTCAAATGTTTTGAAATCTCGTCTTTCCTGGACTCCCACAAGCAAACGATCCGTTTCTTGGAGGTCTTGGGGATGGCTTGCTTTTTGGATGTTCTTGGGATGCCTTTTCACTTGGGGTGCCGCTCAATCCGGAGCCCCGCCCCACTCTTCCAATGTGTTCGCAGCCTTTTCGGGACGCCCCGCAGGGACTTGGGAAGCCGATGTGGGCGGTTCAGCAGGGGTCCGCGCCCCGGGTCGGGCACATTCTGGCACTCAGGAGCTGCAGGCCAAGGGACTTCTGCACCAATGGCGCCCAGAGATGTTTGTGATCCTTGGAGTGGATGATCCTCCACAGCCGAGGGTGTGTGTGTGTGTGTGTCACCCACTGTATCTAAGGGTTCCACCTCTAACCTCTGTAACTAAGATTTTAAATGCAGGGGGCAGGAGTGCCATTGCAAGTCTCCTGCCAACGAAGACGCTTGCAATTGGCAGTGAAACCAGACCTGATCAGTCTGGCGTACCTGCGATTTTTTGAACTTTTGCCCACGCTGTTCCAATCTCCTTTGTTTGATTCCACGGTGGTTCATGATACTTCCCACAAACCATTTCCCTCTGCCGCTTCCAGCTGCCGCGCGCTGACCGCTTGCGAGTGCATTTCAACAGGATGTTCAACAATACTTTGTTGCGGACCCATGCACTTTTCCGTTCCTTCACCTTCCTTCTCAAAGTGGGAACAGAGTTAACTGAATACAATTGTCAGAGTGTGTTTCGCTCAGCCGTCCCACTCGGGTGCTGAGTGTGATCCCCATCATTGGGGCGCTGTCTCATCGTGCAAGCACTAACTGACCTCACCACTTTTCACAGGAAATTCACTGGAAGTCACCGCCACAACCACCGAATTAACTGCCACAACGGCCGCCGGGCCTCACCACGGGAACTGACAGTTTTGCAACACTTGCTTTTTTGAGATGTTTGACGGCTAAGTATTCACATGTGCATGTGCTGCTAAGTATTCACGGGCCGGACGAATTAAACGTGCACTTTTTTCCCCCTCCCTACCCCTGGGCCTCCGTTGCTGCCCCACCCGCTACTCGGGAAACAGAAGGAAATCGCACTCAACACACTTGTGTGTTGGTGCCTTTCCTTCTGTTTCTCCTAGCCTATTGCTAGCTACCCGGGCGGTTTAAGACAAATGTCCCGCTCGCGCTCTACTTTCATTTAACTAAGTGGGCCTCGTAACTACCCCTATCTTTCTTTCTTGCCCTCTTAGTCTGCTGTTGTTTTGTTTGCTTTGTCTGTCTTTCTAAGGCTTTTTAGGTGGCTATTAGTTTTTCGCAGCGCCAATATTGGCGGTTTGTGTGTGTCACCCCCTGTATCTAAGGGTTCCACCTCTAACCTCTGTAACTAAGATTTTAAATGCAGGGGGCAGGAGTGCCATTGCAAGTCTCCTGCCAACGAAGACGCTTGCAATTGGCAGTGAAACCAGGCCTGATCAGTCTGGCGTATGATTCCACTTTGGTTCATGATACTTCCCACAAACCATTTCCCTCTGCCGCTTCCAGCTGCCGCGCGCTGACCGCTTGCGAGTGCATTTCAACAGGATGTTCAACAATACTTTGTTGCGGACCCATGCGCCTTTCCGTTCCTTCACCTTCCTTCTCAACGTGGGAACAGAGTTAACTGAATACAATTGTCAGAGTGTGTGATTGTGCGTATGTGTGTTTATATCTTTGTTTGAACAAATTTAGTTTGTTTGAGGTCAAACGAAGCGTCTGATCTGCTGATCGATCGAATTAGCATCCATTACAATCCTTTTGGCTGCTATATCATTGGTGTCGTTGCAATCATCCTTTTGGATGTGAAGAGTGATATCCAGATTCCGTGGCCTCCTCGGGCCGCCTGTGGCCTCGAGAAACACCTTGATGGTTCTTGACGAGGATCTTCGTCTCTCACCAGTGGCTGAGCTTCGAACATCCTGATCCAAAAGGAGAGGAAGGGAAACAAGATAAATCAAACGAAACCACTGGGTGAAGCTGGCAAGACAGGGTTTTCGAAAGGATTAATGCAGACTCTTGATTAATCAAACCCTGCATATCGACATTATTGGGGGGACTATTAATCAAGCATCTACTTTATACATAGTGTGGTGACAACCCCATTGCGTTTGCTTTCGCAACGTGAATGAAAGAATCCCGGGCAGCCGGAACACCCAGAAAACAGCACCGGATCACCGCAGCTTCCACCGATGCACGACTGGGCTGGATCGAACGCCGGCGCAGGAGAACAAGCGAGCTTCCTACGGGCGGCCTTAAGGAACGTCATCAATGGGACGACGCAGGTGGGGACGCAGGGGGGGATGCAGTCGGACACAGTGGAGTTGATTCGTCCCCTCAAAGAAGATCCTTCAATGGAAAAAGTACCTTTCTTGCAATGAGAGAGACAGAGAAAGAGAGAGAGAGAGAGCGCGCGCGCGCCAGAGAGAAGGAAACGATTTCTTGAACTCTTAATCATCTTCAACCTGATATTCCTGGCCAAACACATCTCCAGCCGCCGCACAGATTCGGCCTCGGATTCCGCGGGTCCCCGACGCGGGACCTTGGAGGTGGAGATGGACATGGTCACGGAGAGCGGGGGTCCAGGCTTCCCTTGCGAGGGCCGGAGATGGATCGCGGGCGGATACCTCTTCCTGGCACCTGGGCGGAAGGTCTGAGGGGTGGAGAGAGGCAGGTAGGTGGAGAGGTGGGTGGGGAGGGCGGTAAGATCAAAGGAGATGGAATATGGGAGGAAAGAAGGGTGGGGGACACCTCCAGGGTCGAACATGCTTGGGTCATGTTTGGTCCAGGAAATTGTGTTGAAGGACATCAAAGGAGGTTTCAACATGTTTTGAGCATAGCCAGTAGCACAGCCATAAATGTCACAAGCAAAGCTCAGAGTCGAAATTGCTAAGGACGACATAGGGGATGTGAGCGGGCTTAAGCATATAAGCATGCATCGCACGTACATCGAATTTGGGAGTGATTGAGAGCCAACCTCTACCGCCCAGGACCAAACCACCCGCCAAGACCGTCCCCACCGAGGACTGGTTTGCCATTCCGCAGGTCACAGCGCGTGCGGCGGGCGTCAACGAGGACGTGGTGAAGTCGGATGCTGCGAAGGCGGTGCAGAGTATCCCTGCGTACGTGCCCCGGTGGCAGGATTTGGGATCCGGATTGTTTCATCCAAAACGAACATAGACCCTGAAGAACCATGGTCCCATGGTCCGACGCTGTTCTTCTACCAGTCATGGCTTTCGGGTTCCATGGCATTGTCTTCCAGGGTGCCAATCCTAAGGATCCCAGGACCGTATACGAGCCTGCTCTACAGCACATACGGCCGGGACCTGGCCAATCCGGCAGAGTGCCAGCCCTACCGTGGTGAAACCCATACCCATACGTGGTGTGTGGCAATGAGGGCCGCGAAATCGCCCAATCCTGCCCTTGGTCCGGACATCCGGTTCAGAATTATCTCTGCTCTATATATTTGTAAACTGTCTTGCAGTCTTACGATATCCGGCGAACGGAAAGGGAGGTGACTGGATTGCTCGGATGGGACTCACGGTCAGGTGACTGGAGGATGTCTAGACCTTGCTCTCGCAAGAGCGGACGAAGAAACGAACCGTCACCAAGCATGCCAAGCAAACCTAACACCGACACCAAACCCCTAGAACTTTGAATTTGTAGAAATTGGTAGAGAAGCACAGTATAGGTTTGCACACCCCAAACTGAGAGATGTTGACCAAGGTTCCATCCAGTCCATCAATCACAAAGCTGCCATGCACGTTGAACGGAAACACACGGAAACATTGCTAGATTCTAGATTCTAGATCGTTCAATTACTTTCACCAGTTTGCCTCCTGAGTCCGGCCTCCCTCGCCTCTCATCATCTCACTCGTAATATCTCACTAGTACGGGCAAAGATGCATCGGTCGCCCGCTCAAAAAAATGTTTCAATTAGGTGGAAGTGGCCAATATTTTTCTGGGGCTGGTGTGCCCATTGCAGCATTATGAGCTCCTCGCCAGATTGGCAGGGAATGGAATTGGAGATTCAACTTCGACTGAGATGCTGACTCTGTGAATTGATTTTTGCAGCTGGAAGTAGAAACACAAAGAAGGTGGAAGAGTCCATGGAAGAGTGTTTCTGCAGTACGGTGGCATTGTTTCTTTGTGGAAAGGGCATATCGTTTTCATAAAACCGGTGTCCAAGTCCATGACCAGATGAACTTGCACATCGGGGTGAATGACTGCATCAATGTGCATCCAACTACAAAGTTCAATCCTGCCTTCCTACACTACACTACGCGGAGTGAGTAGAATCACAGCTTATTATGTGTAAAAGTCCTTTGTCCAGGTAGTAACCGCAAGTCTGAATGCGGTCTGGGTTCTTCCTGGGGACGCCAGAAGAACATCAAGTCTAGCTATCTATATAGGCAGGCGACAGTTCATCCATTCAGTGAGTATAGTTTTATTGCCATGTTTGGTGTGCTCCATCGGGTGGTCCTCGACCCTCCCATTTCGCCCACAAGTTGGGTCGCCGACCTTTGGGTCGTAAGGACTGGGAGCATTTGCAACTTTAGCTCCTGGCTCTCGCGGGGCTGGTGCCGCGCGGAACTCTGGTGCCATGTGCTCTCCAACAAGCCAGATGCATGGCAAGCATGCTGATCGGTTCGCGGAGATGAAGGGTGGTGGAGATGACGGGTCTTAAAGTGATTCGTTGATGATTCGTTGATGTTTTTGTTTTTGCCGGGTGGGATGGGAAGGCTTTTTTGGGGGGGATCCGCACATATCACGAAAGGAAGCCTGGTAAGGACTACCTTGAGTTTGCTTTGCGAAGCAAAGGGACTGGCTTGAGAGCTTGCTCGGGACTAAAGATTGGTAGATCAATGTCTAACACCCCCACCCCCCCCCTCCCCCCCCTGAAAAGTAGAGCCTACCTGTACAGGGTTCCACTCCAACAGCCGATATAGTGTGTCCATACTTGACTGCTTCAAGGCTCAAAGAGCAAGAGGATAAGACTCTGCGCATAAAAGACACTAGCGGTCTGCACCTCTACCGTGTACGCCCTAGTCACTCTTTCAGTGGTAGCGGAGCAGTGATCCTGGAAGACCCAGGTGAGCTCCTTTCCTAGGCATAGACTTGCTAGTGGGCAAACAGCCATGGATTGGATAGACGACTGGGAAGAGCCTGATGCGGATGTGGCTTATGAGCCAGCAGCCTACGTGAATAGGCATGTGAGAAGAGAACCAGCAGCAATAGCAATGACAACACAGGTCACTACAAAGGTGCCCCCATCTTATGATGGAAAGACTTCATGGTTTTCCTATGAGGATGCCATAGACGATTGGTGTGATATCACCGAGCTGGAAGATGAGAAGAGAGGACCAGCATTGAGAAACAGATTAGAAGGAGAAGCAGCTGTATACAAGCGTGTTTTAGACAGAGATGCATTGAAGGCAAATGATCCACCAGGAGCCGGCGTAGAATATTTCAAACGAGTACTACGACCATATTTCGTGAAAGGATCAACCAATGTATTCCTGTATAGATTTATGCAATTCGTGCGCTTCAATCGAGGATCAGCTGACATGATGAAATGGATGACAAGATTTCAGATTTTACTCCAAAGGCTTATGAGCAGTTGGATGGACATGTTAGAGCCAGTCACACAAGCACATCCTCAAGTCCTAGCTCAGATGCAGGCAGATGCAGCGTTGACTGGAGTAGCACCAACGGCAGAAAGTATTCAGGAAATCATGCAGACCATCAATGGCAATATGAGGACTTTTCATCAGAACGAATTTCCTCTAGGAGAAAATCTGATTGCCTTACTCATGCTGTCACTTGCAGATTTGTCTCAGGACCAGCGAAACACTTTGACTTCTTTGATGACTCATCGTGGCAGGGTCCTGCAGCAATACACCACAACAGAGTTGAGGACAGTATTCATTGAGATGTTCTGCACAACAAAGACTTCAGTAGACAATCCTTTGATGCAGCCGACAGGTGCTGGAGGTAGAAGATCATTTCTCGTACTAGACGAAGGAGAACTCGATGGTACATTTGGCTATTGGGCCGAAGATGAAGAAGATGGAACTGAAGGATTTTTAGATGCCCTGGACGATGTCTTTTGGGTATATGATGATCAAAACTTCTCGTGGTTCCAAAGGAGATTCCAAGGAAGAAGAGCCAGAAAAGGCAAAGGAAAAGGAAGAAGAAAAGGAAAAGATAAAGGGCCGCAGATTTTTCAGACCTCGTGGAAAAGGAAAAGGAAAGAGACGAGGTAAAGGCCATTTTGCTGATGAGCAACAGACAACTTTTCCAGATGAGTATTATGAAGAGAATCCTTATGAGGACACTTGGGAGTCAAACCAAGTAGCATATGATGCCATTCTTGCCGAAGATATGAATGACTATCTTCAAGGAGAATATGATGATGCCAATGACTTTTGGCAACAGCTTGAAGAAGCATGGTTTTCCCACAAAGGAAAAGGAAAAGGCAAGAGAAAAGGCAAGAAAGGAAAAGGAAAAGATAAAGGAGATGGCAAACAAGATGCAAACTATGCAAATCAACAACAGCCACGTTCTTTACCTGCACCTTCAAGATCTTCACAAGCATCAGGAGGTCAACAAGGTTTCTTTGCACATTGTGTGACAGCAGCAGCTGAAGTCCATGACAGTGAGGTGAACTTGCTGTCAGGCATGATGACCTCATGTCAAGATGAAGCTGACTGCGCGGTCAACAATGGTGAGAAGATCTTCAATGGCATGAGTGCCCCGGTGAGGTACTCTTTGTCAAAGGAGATGCTCACAAAGGCTCCTGATGGCTTTGCGCTTATGAGCGCTGAGGAAGAAGTGAAGGAGATGCAGGCCATTTCATTTTTGACTGAGAATCGCTTCCCGCCGACTATTGCAATCCTGGACATTGGATGCACTAGAGCTATGGGATCAAGGCGAGCAGTCGACCATTTTTGCAACTATGTCGACAATCACCCAGATTGTGGATTATGGTACTCTTTTGAGGCTACCAAGAGCAAGTTTTACTTTGCCAATTCCCAGAAGGCTACTTGCTCTCAGAAACTGGTGATTTACATGTATGATCGTGCATGGACGATCCACCATACAGAGTTCGACATAGTGGAAGAAGGAGAAGTCCCTTTGCTTATGAGCTTGACACAGATGAGGAACTTAGGCTTTGAACTCAGGCTGACACCTCAACATGCTTATCTGACATCGGTGCCTCTTGGTATCAAATATTTGGAGTTGAAGGATGCAGCCAGTACTCATCTTGTCTTGGACTTCCAAGATATTGCATGGTATCTGTCTGACGTGAATTTTCAGACTCGGCGCGAGAAGAGTTTTTACTCTCACTTCACTCACTATGAATATGGTCATATTTCTGTTGAACACAATAGTGATGAAGATGTAGCTGAACATGCATATCCTGTGGTTGACTACTGGGAAGTAGATGTTCACAAGAGAGAACTGATACGTCACCACAAGGATTATAGAAAGATTCTTTTTCCAGCAACTAAGTCCTGTCCTGTAGACACTGACTTACTGGAAGACTTGCGACTGACAATCATCAAGAAGAAAGAAGGTGGAGAAGAAATCAAGAAGCTAGATGATTGGCGCAAGGCAAAATGGAAGGACCTACAAATTGGCTATGAATGGCGTGGTAGAACAATTTTTAAGTTCAAGCCAGATGCCAAAATTCCAGATCTAAAGATCAGGAAGGCTGGCATTGAGCACCGTGGCATTGGTGATCCCGATGCAGTGGTGCGCTCCTCCTCAGAGAAGGTTCCCATTGCAAAGGACAGGGAACCAGGCTTCTCGTCAGAGAAGGAAGGTGCACCATCAAGTGCCGCGGAAAAGCCCGTGCCGCCAAAGTTTCGGTATACTTCCAAGGGTTTTGATCCATTTTGGAAAGGACACAAGTCGAAACCATCTGAGCCTCAGAATGATTTAAAGGGTGATGATCTTGAGGAGTATGCTCCCTCAGAACCACCTGAGAGGCCAGAAGGTGAACTTGTAGAAATTCCTAAAGCATCAAAAGGACCATCAAGTGATAAACATGAACCACTTGAACCAGGTGATGGCGCTCTTGAGCCTAGGCGGATTTCAATCCCATTACCTGGTAGTGAAGTTGTTGCAATGACACCGGCATATAGGAAGATGTTACAGAGACTGGAGGACAAGGTAGAGCTTTATAAGCTTCATGTGAAGCACTACCATATGAGTCCTACTCAGTTTCGTAGACGTGTTTCTATGTTGAAGCTTCCTGACTCTGTTTTAGAGAAGTATGAATCAGTTGTCAGGAACTGCCGTGTTTGTAACACTTCAGTGGCACCTCCGCCACGAGCCAGAGTCTCCGGTATTAGAGCTTCATGTTTTGGTGATGTTGTTTTTGCTGATCATTGTGAGGTTGAACTTCACAAGAACAAGTATATCATCTTACTTGTTCTTGATGGTGCCACAAATCTTCTCTGGGCTACGGCACAGAAAGACCTCATAGATCAAACCACCATCCAAGCATTGAGGCAGTGGTCTGATGAGAACAACTGTGTTCCGAAGGCCATCGTAGGAGACGAAACCTTTTTCACCGATGCTTTTGTTGAATACTACAGGTTCCATGGTATACAACAATGTCCTTGTGGGCCAAGAACTCCTTGGCCGAACCGAGCAGAGACAGCTGTACGTTTGTTCAAACGTATGTGGCATGTTATGAAGGTAGATCTGGATGACCCACGTTTTCGTAGTGTTACGGTCAGAGAAGTGGTCAAGAAGGTAGTTTGGCAAGAAATTGTCAGTTGACTATCAGTGGATATTCACCAATAGAGATAGCAACTGGAAGACGTCCACCAGATCTTTTTGACCTTGAGACCGCAAGCCCTGAGCAATTGTCAGCTAATGCCGCCGCACAAGATCGTACAAATTTGGAACTACAACGTGGGGCTTTGAGAGCTCATCAAGAAGCACGACAAGCTCAGGACCTTCGAGCAGATCTTGCAAGAAGGACTATGCCAAGTGACGGTCCTTATTTCCAAGGAGAGAAGGTTTTTGTTTGGACTCAGGATTCATCAAAGTTCAAGGATAAAGGACGTTGGGTTCGTGCCACAGTACTTGGACAAGAAGGAGCTATGGTCCAAGCCAATACTGGTAAGGCAGTGATACGTGTGAATCAGTCAAAGGTTAGACGCGATCACGATGAGTGGCATGATGTTTCCATACCGGCATTAGACGATGAGAATCCGGAGAACTTACGTGAAGATCACGAACTGTATGTTGATGTCGAATTTGGGGAACAGTCCTTTTTTCTTCTGTAATGATGATCATCCTGATGTTGTTGAGTTACTTCATGGAAACAGTGGATTATCTTGGTTCCTTTCAAAGAATGGTGTTAAAGTTGCATCTCCTATGGATTTCAAGGCAGGATACAACTTTTCCACTATGAAGGGTCAAGATGGTATTTGGCAGCAACTGGAGAGATTGCAGCCCCACTGTATAGTGATCAACAACCCTTCTCCCAAACAGAACAGAGCTTCTATTTGGTTGCTATGTTGTAATGTGATTGAGTGGCAGTTGAGAAGGAAGAAACATGTGTTTGTGACTGTTCCCAAAGGAAACACGTTTTGTTTGTTTTT